TGTGATAAGAGAAAAAAAAAAAATAAAAAAAAAAAATAAAAAAAATAAAACCATACAAAAAACACTATTATAATGATACTATTATTAAATACAATCACACACTACCCCCTAAGCACAATACAATCATAATTATTAACAATGCTATAATAACAACAATATTGATATATAACTATTTCTTGAAAACAATATTTATAGAAAAAAATAGTATTTGAATACACCTAATACTATATATATTTTATGGATATCCAAGTGTGTTATTCTATTATATGAAAACAAAATAAAAAAGTAAAAAAATTGAATACAAATTCGATATGTTCACCCAATACTACTATTTATTTATTATTTATTTTATTTTAAAACATGAATATTGTTATCTCCATCGCTGCACACCCCCATTTTATGTGATTTATGATAATATTATTTTAAAATTGGGTTAGGGTGTTTTTTTTTTTTTTTTTTTAATATACAAAGAATGATGTGTTAGTGGGTGTTAAGAGTGGGGGTGGTAAATTATTATTTTTTTTTTTGTTTATTTGAAATTTGTACATATATGTGTAATATTTTTAAACTAAAAAATAAAAAAAACAATAATATTAAAAATAGTTTATTTGTTTTTTATTACAAAGATACTCTTTATTTTCTAAACTTACTCTATTATAGAAGAAATTATTTGAATTTCATAAAAGTATTTTGATCAATCTACTTTTTTTTAATACTTTTTGTTATTATAAAAGTGTTAAGAATTATTTATTTAAAATACCATATATATTATTAAAAAATTATTTTAAATAATGAGTTTGTTAAAAAAAATTGTTTATTGTTTATTATATTATTATATATTTTTTATTTAAATCTATATAAATTTTATTAATTAATAATAGGAAGAAAAAAAATGTTTTGAAATAAATATATAAAAAATTGAATACAATTTTTTTTTAAAATTTTTATTTTAAAAATAATTTTTAATTATTTTTTTTTAATTTTTTTTAATTTTTTTTTTTTTCAAATAAATAAATCAAGAGTTATTATTTTTAGACAAAAAACTTACAACGTAGTTTATTTTTTTTTTTGGTTGCATTTAATTTTATTTTTAAAATAATTTGATGATTATTAAAATAATTTGATGATTATCAAAATAATTTTTAATTAATAATAATCAAAAATTATATATTAATATAATTATTTAATTTATTATAATATTTTTTTTTTCTGATTTCAAAATCAAATTTACAAATCTAATCAAGTTAAAGAAATGAATAATAGTAGGTATGATTACAGCACACTATTGGGGTCTCATGGGAAAACAAGAGAAATGAAATTTCAAGTGGATGGTTTTTACAAGTCAATGTATGTATACCAATAATTTAGGGATTAGATTGTAGTCACCAAAAAAAAAAGAAAAGAATATGTAATGGTATTAGTAGTTTATCTAGATTAATAGAAGATTGTAGCCAAAGCTCCATTGAATTAAATCTAATAAAACTAAATCTAATAAAATCTAATAAAATAAAATATAACAAAATAAAATTAAATTAAATAAAACAAAATAAATTAAAATATAAAATCAAAATTTTTTTTAAATGTTATTACAATATGTAATAATTTTTATTTATGCCTTTAAAGTTGGTTTGTAGAAATTTGATTCAATTAAAAACTCTATACATTCTTTAATGGTTGTTTTGGTGTCAATATATTGTTTTAATTTTAATGGAGATTTAGATTCTAGTTTATATTTGTGTGGTGAGAGAGTAGAGTCAAATTCGCAACCTTTGATATCGAATTGAGGGAAAAGTTCTCTAGCTAAATCGCACATACCAGCAAATGTAATAACAGTGTTAGCCATTAAATATCTGTTTGGATGGAGCAATTCAGTGTTTGGTGTTGCTTTTAATGCATTGATGTGGGCTTTTGCGACATCTCTAACATCAATTAAACCGACCAAACGATTTGATACTGCTGGATCGCATGATCCCAATAGTGAGTCTCTGAATGTAGTTAAACTTGTATTGAGTGATGGATATCCTTTTAATCCTGGACCAAGAACGAAAGCTGGATTGATGATTACAATTTCAAAGTGGGTATTTGGATGAGTTTCTTTATAGTTCCATGTGGCCTTTTCTGCTAAATATTTACTGAATTGATATGGGGCGGAGATGTTTGAACCATCATTCCAGTCATCTTCATTGTAAACCTCTTTCTTTTTGGCTAAATCAGTGACAGCAGCAGATGATGAAGTGATAACTACTTTTTTAATAGATGGATGTTTTGAAGCGGCGTCCAATACTCTTACATTACCAGCGATGGCTGGCTTGACAATTTCAGTTTCTGGGTTATCTGATTTGTATATATATGGTGAGGCAATGTGTAAAACAGCATCTGCATCTTTAAAGATCTCCTCATAATTAGCAGTTTCCAAATCACCAGATTCCAATACCAATTTACTGGCACCTTCCAAATCTGTTAAAAATTTGTATTTTTGAACATTGTTTTTATCTCTAACAATTGCAACAATTTGCTCAATTGAATTATCTGTCAATAAGTCTTTGATAATTAATGATGCAATATAACCACTTGCACCTGTAACTACAACTTTTTTAAAATTATTAATATTATTATTTATCATTTTATTATTTATTATTTAAATGAATGATTTTATTAAATAAAAAAATTTCAAATTTATAAAAAAATAAATAAAAAAAAAAAAGTAAAAATTTGAAAAATCTTTTCTCGAATCTTTTAATTTAATCGAATCAAAAAGATAATATTTATTTCACTTGGTGTAAAAGAATGATGATAATTTTAATTTAAATTCTGAAATGATAATATAAAATATAATGAATTTTTAATTACCATTCAGAATGTTAAATATATTTTTAACATTTTGAATGGTAATTAAAATTTCAACGATTAATATTTATGATTTTATCAAAAAACTTAAGCTCTTGATTTTTTATTTTTGTTTTATATTTGTATTTTATATTTATATGAAAATTTATATTTTTATAAAAAAATAAAAAAATTATAAATAATTTTAAAAAATATAAAAAAGATATATATAGGTGGTGGGATATACGTATATATAAATAATTTTTATTTTTTTTTTTTAAAAAATTTTATTTTTTAATTTTTTTTATTTTTTAATTTTTTTTTTTTTTTTATTTTTTTTTTATTGTTTTTTTAATTTATAATTTTTTTTTTTTTAATAACTATTAATGATATAAATAGAAATAATAATAGTATGGTTTATAAAGACAGGACATCAGAATTTGGAAATTTAGCAGAGACTTTAAGAAGAAAACAGGAACAAAATGGACAATTATCAAATAGAAATGCAAAAAAAACTTCACAAAAATCCCAATTCTCTTATGCTGCTGCAGAGATAAGTAAAGGTGTTTACGAGACAACAGAAAAGTTATTAAAGTTAACTAATAGTATGTTAAAGAGCCAATAATAGTTTTAGATAAATAGATATTAATATTTTATTCGTTTTAAAAAAATAGTGGCAAAAAATACAAAATTATTTATGGACTCATCAGCACAAATCGAAGAACTAACATTTATAATTAAACAAGATATTCAAAAATTAAATAATGATTTATCAGCACTTGACCAATATGTAAAAACATCAAGACAACCAAATAAACAAACTGGTGATCATTCAGAAACCATTGTTGGATTTTTAAATTTAAAATTAAAGAATGCCACAAAGGATTTTAAAGATATTTTAGAAGTTAGAACAGAGGTAGATATTACCACTATTATTTAGATGGATAGATTGTATTTTTATACTTATAATTATTATTACCTATATTTAGAGTTTAAAACAACAACAGGAAAAAAAAGATAGTTTTGCAGGTTACACAAATAATCTAGCAGTATCACCCTATTCCAATAGCAATAATAACAATAGTAATAGTAATGATTCACCCAAAGGAGAGATGTTACGGCACCGTAATACTTCGAGTCGTGATGGTTAGTTTTCATTCATTATTTGGAAGAGTGTTTACAATAATAATAATGTTATTGTATTGTTATATATTTATAAAAAAAGATCTTGTTTGGTTTGGATTTATCTCTTTTTCTTTTTTTCCTTCATCTCTTCCAAATAGATGACTCTATACCATCAAGATTCTTTAATTATTTATGTCGTTTATCTCTTCAATTTAAAAAGTTTTTTTTAAAAATACTAATTTGTTTTTTATTTTTTTTATTTTAGATTCGAATTTATATAAATATCAAAACTATGAAGAGGATGATGATACAAACGAACACTCAATTTTAATGCCACAAGAATTAATGATGCACACTACAGATTACTCATCAAGTCGTTTAAGAGCAGCAGAGAATATATCAAGTACAATTCACCAATTAGAAGGTATTTTTACACAATTAGCAAATTTAGTATCTATGCAAGGTGAGGTTATAGAAAGAATTGACTCTAATATAGACGACTCGTTAATGAATATTAGTAGAGGTCATGACTCTCTTGTCCAAACACTTTTAAATATATCATCCAATCGAAGCTTAATTATTAAAATATTTTTAGTTTTAATAATATTTGTTGTAATTTTTGTTGTTTTCTTTGCTTAAATAAATTATTTGATAAAATATAAAATACAATTTTTTTACTATTGTTTTTTTTTTTTCTTTTATAAAATTTTACTTTATTTTATTTTATTTTTTTAATATATTGGAATTTAATAAACTATGAATTAAAATACCTGTTGATACTGAAACATTTAATGAATCAATTTTCTTGTTACCACCAGAAATTCTAATAGTTTTATCGCATTGGTTAATAATTGATTTATGGACACCAAAACCTTCATTACCTAGAATTAGTATAGTTGGTTGATCTAATTTGACATCGGTAATATTATAGTTGGCGGGACTTGACGAATCCTCGCTACTATTATCATCTACAGATGTAGCCACTATATTCCAACCATTCTTTTTACTGGATAATAGAAAACCATTAATAGACTCGCTCTTGTGAACCAAATAGTTTTCAACAGCACCCGATGAACATTTTGATGCGGTTGGTGTGATTGGATTTGAGCATTTATCCGATATAACTATACCATCGACATTAAAGAATGAGCAAGATCTAATAATTGTGCCTACATTTTGTGGGTCCCATAATTCGTCCAATACAATCCAAAGTGGGTATCTCTTTGTATTTTTGTTTGCTTTAAATGGCTTTAAGAAATCGATATTCAATACTGTCAAGGGCGAGCAATCCAAAATTACACCTTGATGGGGTTTGTTCTTTGAAAATGACTCCATAATATTGTTTTTGATTGCTATAATTGGTATTTTTAATTCATTTGCTTTTTCTGCGATCTCTTTAATTGCATCTAAATTCTTTTTGTCATTATATCTATTAAACTTTTTGTTTTTATTACCTGCATCTTCGTCATCTTCGTCATTATTTTCTGATTCAGCCTCATCATAGTCATCACCATCTTCATCATTTTCATCATTTTTTCTATTTAATTTGATATTTAATTTTAATTCGGTTTCGTCTCTGACTAAATGGCCTAATCCCATTGTCTTTAATTTTTCATAAATTGATTTTGTAATATATAATTGATTGAAACTTCTGTTATCCGATGTTATAGCCACCCAAACTGGATTGATACCATACAATGCCTCTCCTCTAATTTGATGCTCTTTTTTGATTAAAACTTCATTATTAAAATTATATTTTAACTTTTTACCACCATAACTATTGTTATTTGGTTTATAATTATCTTTTTTATTATTATTATTATTGTTGTTGTTTTTATTATTATTTCTATCATTTCTGAAACCATTACCACTGTTTTTATTATTATTAAAACCATTTGGTCTTAATGAGTTTCTATTTCGGGGTTTATATTTATCTTCAAATTGTGTTTCGAATCTATCTTGATATTGATCATCATTATTATAATTATTATTTCTATTATTATAATTATTTGTTTTATAAGATCTATTATTATTACAAATAAAATTTTTAAATAAATGGTTTATACTACCAGTGTTGTTATTTTTACAATAAATCGATATTAGCTTTTTAGTATTTAACATGTTGTTATTATAATTCAATAATTAAAAAAATTATCGTTTTTTTAAATTTTTTATAAAATTTTTTTTTTTTTTTTTTTTTTTTTTTAAATTTTTTTTTTATTAATAAATCCCAAAAATAGTCATAATGTGTAATTAGTTAGTTATCCACTATCCAAATGATTATTTTTAATTTAAATATTGACCAACAAAACAACAAATATTTTATATACAGATATAAATTGATATTATAAAAAAAAATTGGAATTTAAAAACATTAAATTCCATCTACGTAAAATTATGGCGTAAGTATTGGCCCATTATGTCTGGGATTTGCACAAGAAATAATAAAATAATATCTTTTATAAAAAAAAAAATGTTTTTTTTTTTTTTTTTTTAAATAAAAACCCCAATTTTTTTATTTAATTTTTTAAAAATTTTTTTTTTCACTAATTGTTAAATTGTTATTTATTATTTTTTTTTTTTTTTTTTTGTATTTTTATCTTTTGTTTTTATATTAAAATTTTTTTTTTTTTTTTTAAAATTATTTTATAATACAGATATAAAATTTAAATTTTATAAATTATTATACATATTTTAAAAAATGGAATCAGCAATTAGAAGAATTCAACAAATTAGTAACTCATTTATTTTACAAACAAATAATGTTTCAAATATCGATCCACAATTTATCGAAGCTCAAAATTCATTTAATCCACAAGCTTTATACAGATTTTTATTCCCATATGAACCAGAATTAAGAAGCAGATTAGCCGAAGTTTGGAAAACTGACAAATTATTGTTAAAAGATTCATTTGGTTTATCATTAGAAGGCGAAAGAGAACAATCATTCATTCAATTTAAAAGATTAATGGAGGTTCTTCGTCAAAATTTTAGTCTCTATGATTTAGAAAGGTAATCGGATATTTTTTTTAATATTTTTTATTTTTTTATTTGCCCATTTTTCATTTTTATTTTTTTTTTAAAATTTGAATATTAATTAAAATTTTTATTGAATTTATAGAAATCCAAGAAAACTTGCAGTATTTACACAAAGTTATAGATTTGTTAATATAAGCGTTACAACATTAATAGGTGTACATTTTTCATTATTTGGTGCATCAATTTTATTTTTAGGTTCCAATGAACAAAGAGAAAAATATATTAAAAGTAAGGATATATTATTAAAAATTATCTTTAGGTGCAATTGTAAAATCAATATTAACCCATTTTTATAATTTTATTTTAGAAATTGAAACATTAGAAGTTGTTGGTTGTTTTTCATTAACAGAATTAGGACATGGTTCAAATGTTCAACAGATTGAAACAATTGCAGAATATGATCACAATACACAAGAATTTATTATAAATTCACCAACTATTACAAGCCAAAAGTATTTTATTGGTGGTGCCGCTAAAAATGCATCACATACAATTATTATGGCTCAATTAAAAGTTGCAGGTAAAATGGAAGGTGTACATGCATTTGTAGCAAGAATTAGAAATGAGGATGGTTCGGTTGTAAAGGGTATTAGAATTTCAGACTGTGGAGTTAAAATGGGTTTAAATGGTGTAGATAATGGTCGTTTAATGTTTGATTGCTTAAGACTCCCAAGAGAAAACTTATTATCACGTTTTGGTGGTGTAAACAAAGCAGGCATTTATAGTAGCCCAATTAATCCAGCTAATAAGCGTTTCGCTCAAACTATAGGTGCATTGGTTTTAGGTCGTTATTTGATTGCTATTGGTTCTGTTGCTTTTAATTCAGTTGGTTTAACTACCGCTTTAAGATACTCATTCTCAAGAAAACAATTCAGCGGTTCTGATCCAAAACAAGAAAAACAACTTATTTCCTACAGCTCACACCGTAAACGTCTTTTACCTCATTTAGCAAATACCTATGCCATCCATTTCTCAAATAATTATCTTTTAGATTTACTCTGTGAAAAAGAAAAGAAAGACAAAGAAATTCATATTCTAGCATCTGCTCTTAAAGCTTATGGTTCATGGTCATCTCGTGATTGTCTTCAAGAATGCAGAGAAGCTTGTGGTGGCCAAGGTTTCCTTTCAGAAAATTTAATTGGTAACTTTAAATCAGAAACAGAAATTTATACTACTTTTGAAGGTGATAATATTTTACTTTATCAACAAGTAGCCAAGTTTGTACTCTCAGAAAGTAGAAAGAATCCACCACCAGAATATGAAGCTCCATCTGATTCCATTAAACAAAAAACAGATAGTCAATTCCTTAGATCATTTGAATTTCTCCAAAATGCTCTCAATGCCCGTTTTGCTCAATCAGTTGCTTATGTTACAGAAAAACTAAGTGAATCAGTTGCTGAAGGTAAACCAATTATGGACTCATGGAATGATAATTCACCATTCATCGTTAAGCTTGGTCAAGTCTATACAGAAAAAATAATTTTACGCAAGTTTATTGAAGGTATTAGTGGTTATTCAGATGAAAAAGCACAAGCTGCTTTACAATTGTTGGTTTCACTTTACACTTTAAATATTATCGAAAAAGATCCATGGTTCCTCAAATATGGTTATATTTCTTCAGAACAAGCCGAGGCCATTACTGTTCAAGTTTTGGAAATCTGCAAAGAGTTGGTTCCACACTGTATTTCGCTTACTGATGCTTTAGGTTTTGATAATGAAACCTTGGGTCCAATTGCAAATGATTGGATTAGTAAAAATAAATTTTAAATAAAATATAAAGAGATATTTATAATTTGTTTTTTTTTTCTTTTTAAAAATAAAATTACAGTTTTTTTTTTAATAAATAAATAAATAAATAGTTTTTTTATTAGTTTTACACGTAGTATTATTAAATTTTTTTAATTACAATTAATAATTAAATTTACAAAAGAATAATTTTAATGAATGCTCCTAATAGAACAGGAACAATTATATTTGGTATAATTTGGAAAGAATCACTTGATTCACTATCTTCTTTTTCACTTTGGTTATTGAGTCCACCTGGAACAGTTGAGCCATCTTTGCCTGATGTGTTTGAACCACCACTGCTTGATGCATTTCCGTTATTGTTGTTACCATTTGATTTACTATCAGAATTTTGGCTACCTCCTTCATTTGATGTAGTTGGTGGATTTGTTGCTGATGAGGATGATGCTGATGATGATGTAGTTTGAGAGGATGATGTTGGAGTTGGAGTTGGAGTTGATGTTGGAGTTGATGTTGGAGCTTGTGTAGCTGGTGGTTGTGTAGCTGGTGGTTGTGTAGCTGGTGGTTGTGTAGCTGGTGGTTGTGTAGCTGGTGGTTGTGTAGCTGGTGGTTGTGTAGCTGGTGGTTGGGTTGGTGTGGCACTTGGGATTTGGCCTGATGGTGTACCAGCAACATAAGAGGTTACCCAAGCATAACATGAACCAGAACTTGTAACAATAGAAAGAGAACCAGTATCTGGGTATCTATATACATTACCATTCGATGTAATAAATTCGAAAATATATGTATCGCAGGCCATATAGCTATTTGGTGAGTATGCAAAAAGCCCTTTATTGGTTGAGCCAATTGCTAATGTTAAGTCAGCTGAACCACCTGAACCAAAGAAAATTTTAGCTGATTGAAGAGTTTCACCTTTTTTATTATAATATACAGCCATAAAGTTTGGAAGATAAGAGTTGTAAAAAGAATGGGATCCAGAGTAAATTGGGCTGGTTTGTGGTTCGCATGTTAAGTCTTTGTAATCTTGACTCCAGTAGAAACGATAAGCTGATGAGTATGAATAAAAGAAACCAGTACCGGCAGTAACCCATTTTGAATTCATCATATTTGATCTATGGCCATCGTTATAACCATCATTAACACAGTTTGGTACAGTTTCACAGATTAATTGATTTTGTGTTGAAACACCATCAGATAAACCGGCAGATAAATTTTCACCCCATCCTGATTGGCAACCTGTATTAAATCTTTCGAATCTTGAAGCAATTGAACCACCATTACAATCATTATGGGCAAAACAGCCGTTTAATGCCATATCTTGTGAGTGGTATCTAGCTTGTCCATTTAATACACTATTATAATAAACTGGGTTTGTAGCTGGGTAATTATTTAAAACATTTCCTAAATTATTGTAGCCGCTGCTCATAAAATACCTCATGTAGCCTTTTGGGTCAATACGTACAGCATTCATTAAGTTAAGGCTTTCTCTTTCTTGCCATATTGGTAAACCTATTAAATAAAAAAAAAAAATTTATTTAATTAGTATTTAAATAATTTTTTTATTTATTTTATTTATAAACATATAAATATCATTTACCATTTGAGTCCCCTTCACCATATGAAGCAACATTTAAAATTGATCCACTTATTAAAAGTAGGCTTAAAAGAGATGAGTTTAAAACTTTCATTTTTTTTTTTTTTTTTTTAATATTACAAAATTAATGTTACACTATAATTTATTAAATTATTTTATACTAAACATGTAAGCTGATATTTTTTAAAATACTATTTATATATATAACCTTAGAAAAAAAGAGTTGATTGAATAAAAATAATAAAAAAAAAATAAAAAATTGATTAATCAGATAAAAATTTTTTTTTAAAAAAATAAAATAGAAAAAATAAATAAATAAAAAAAAAAAAATAAAATAACTTTTTTTTTAGAAACTACTTTGTAAATCATCATTAAAAGTGTCACTAAATCAATTTGGATCAAAAAATCAATTTTATTATAAAAAAAACTAGAATACTCCTGTTTCCATTCGTCAGTTATCCCATACTGTCTTTTTTAAAAAAAAAAAAAAAAAAAATTTTAATTTTTTTTTTTGCAGTTATAAAAAATTTTTTTAAAACCAAGAGCCCCCTTTATCCCTTTATAATCAACAAAAAGAATTTATAAATAATCAAAAAAAAAAAAAAAAAATTAAAATTATTTAATTGGTTTCAACCCTTTTTGAAATATTTATTTTTTTTTTAATTTTTATTTTTTAATTTATAATCAAAAAAAAAAAAAAGCTTGATTTTTGATATTCAACTGCCACTAATCAACTTTTATTGTAATTATTTATTTTATTAATAATATTGATGGATTCTACTAGGACAGTGGGGACATTGACATTGGTAATATTGATGAGATATATACTGAGCTGGGCTTGGGATTTCATTAAAACCATAAGGATTATTATTATAAAAATTATTTGGTGCAGGTGGTGAAAATTCATATGATGGTATTTTTTGATTATTATTATAACTACTATTATAATTTACATAACTATTTTTGCAATAGTTATCAAAGTCAGTATTTTGATAATGATTAACATAATTTTGATCATAATATTGATTATTATAGTGACTATAATAATTATTATTCCCATAACTATTGTTCTTATTATAATTTATATTATTTTTTTTATTATTTAATTGATTTTTATTTGATTTTAAATAAAGTGAATCTAAACTATTAGCAACTTCGTCAACATCTTCCTCGTCAAAATATTCATATTCTTCATATTCTTCCTTTTTTTCATAGTTTTGTTCTTTATTTTTTTTATTTTTATTATTATTATTATTATTATTATTATTATTATTATTATTATTATTATTATTATTATTATCTTGATTTAGTGAACCAACTTCATTAACTTTATTTAAAACCTGTTGTTGTTCTTGTTGTAGTTTTAATTTGTTTAATGATTGAATATCATTTGGATTTGATAGTTCATAGGTATAGAATTCGTCTGGGATTAGGTCATTATCAAATCTTTCTGAAATATCAACACTATAGTTTTCTATTAGTTCATTTATAAAATCAATTTCTTTAATTTTTTCAATGTTCTCTTCATCTTCGCCCTCCTTTTCTTCTTTTTCTTCTTTTTCTTCTTTTTCTTTTTTATTAATATTGTTATTTTCAATTGGTTGATTATCATTTATAAATGTTACTGATATGCCAAAGGTGCCAAATCTACCAGTTCTACCAATTCTATGAAAATAAGTTTCGTGATCTTTTGGTAAATCCATATTAATTACTAAGTTTACTCTTTCAACATCAATACCACGAGAGATTAAATCGGTTGAAACCAAAATACGTATATTAAATTGTTTTAATGCATTCATTGTTTGTAAACGTTCGCGTTGATCTTGACCACCGGCAATAAACGATGTGGGCCAGCTTTCCCTATTTAATATTCTGGCAAGTTCCTCGGCTCTTATTTTATGATTAATAAATATAATTGCTTGATAAAATGATACCTGTTCCAATATTAAAAGTAATGATTTTATTTTCTCTTGAAATAATTTATAGTTGGTACCTGGATTCGTTGAATTTGGATTTTTAAAAACTTGATAATATTGTTTTATGCCCTCTAAAGATGGAGTATCTGAACATAGTCTAATTTGGATAGGTGATTTCATATAGGCTTGTAATATATTAATAAGATAGCTTGGATAGGTAGCAGAGAATGCTAATATTTGTCTGTTTGCAGGCATTGTGGTATAGATCCAGTTTATAATTTTGGTAAAAGATGCATCTAATAGCTTGTCAGCTTCGTCAAGAATTAACATTTTCAAGGTATCGGTCCTGAGTTGTAAATTTTCGATTAGTGATTTAATTCTTCCAGGAGTACCCACTATAATTTGAGAACCAGCTAAACGATGAATATCATTATCCTCTTTTAAACCACCAATAAAGACTTGTGTTTTAATTCTTTTGCAATATTTGCTAATTTGCTTGACTACATCACCTATTTGGACAGCAATCTCTCTGGTTGGCGCCATAATTAAAACCAAAGGTTTACGAGGTACACCACCAACCATTTCACAATAGCTTTCATCATCCATATCTAATAGCTCTTTATTTGTTGGTTTTGATTGTTGTTTCTCTTGAAATTGTTTAACTTCTCGTAAAACACACTCTAAAGCTATAACACCAAATACCACAGTTTTCCCAGTGCCAGATTTAGCCTGTGCAATCATATCGATACCACTTATACCCAAGGGTATAGCTTTTAATTGAATTGGAGATGGCTTTATATAACCTGCATCTTCAAGTCCTCTTAATATATCTTTGTTTAATAATAGTTCTGAAAAGGTTATATTTTCATTAATTTCTATATCATTTGTTCTTTTTCTATAATTATTATTATTATTTATACTATTATTATTATTGTTATTATTATTATTTAAATTATTCATTTAGAGATTGGTTTAATAACAAAACAAATAAAATAATAATATTTAATAGTTATATTAAATGAAATGAAATCATCAAATTAAATTTTTTTTTATAATTTTTCGAAAAACAAACCAAAAAATTATTTATTTTTTTTTTAAAATTTTTTTTAAATTTTTTATTTTTTTTTTATTTTTTTTTTTATTTTTTATTTTTTTTCATTTTATAAAATTTCATAAATATATCTCTTATTATAATTTCAACAATAATATAATAAAGATGAATCGTGGACCATTTTATCGTATGGCCGTTGGTGGTGCCCTTACTTTAGGTGTTTTAGCCGGTACTCCAATGTACGTATAGTATTCGGGTTTCTTTATTTTTTTGATCAATAGATTTTAACCTTTTTTTTTCATCTTATTTCAACAAACCAATTTTATATAATATTGGAAATTTACAGTTGCAGACCAACTTTTGGTAATTTTTTACAAGCTAATCAAGATCAAGAAAAACGTGAAAAAGAAATTGTTGCAATTATGAAGGGTGAAGTTGTAGATCACCATCATCACGATGACAAACATCATGGTGGTAAACACCACGATGGTGCTAAAGCAAAAGGACATCACTAATAAACAATTAATATAATCAAATATAAAAATAGTAATATATAATGTAGAATTTTTCAAAAAAACAAGAAATAAAAAAAACAATAAAATAAATCTAAAATTTCGAATTCAAATAAACAAATCAATTTTTAAAATTCAATATTCTTTAGATTATTTATCATTGGTTATTATTATTATTATTATTATTATTACTGACACTATAAAAATTGTGTTTAGTTTTATTAAAATAATTGTGGTGGTGGTTTGTGGTTAGTTTTATTTTATAAATATGTTTTAAATTTATTTTATTTTATTCAATAGAAGTTAGGGGTTTATTATTTTCTAATTCTGTTAAAATTTGATCCCAATAAGCGAATCTGTTTGAAATTTCTTGGATGATATCATTATAACCTTGAACTTTTTCTTCTAATTTTTTATTTAATTGTACAGCAATAATTTCTTGTTCAAAATGAACATTTTCAATTGGTTTTAGTTTTTCATTTAAAGTTGGGATGGATTGCATTGAGTTTGAGTTTATAAATTTCTCCAATTCGTGTAACTTTTGAAGATTTCTTGATGTTGTATAAATTTCGTCTTCTGCACTTAAAATAATTGCTAATTTTTCGACACTATTTAATAATGTTTCATTATCCATTACTTTATTGAATAATGATTCGTTTGCTTTATCTATGGGTAGTATTAAAAGTAATATTGGTATTAGTTAAAACTACTCTTAATAATAACATTTATAGTTTAGTGTGGTTGTTATTTATTTGTTATTTCTTTTTAAACATACATATTAACATAAAATTATTTATTGATTCATTTTCAGATTTAATTTTATTTATTATTGCTTTAAATTTTTCCAAAGATTCTGTTATTGGCTCCTGTTGTTGATTTTGTTGATGTAATTGTTGTGATACACTTGAGGATCTTGATCTACCTGATGGTGTAGGTTTGCTTGCAGTAGATGAAATTTGATTAAATGTTGGTAATGGTAGTCTCAATAATGAATCACTTGATGTTTGCTGTGAACCTAAGAGCATAAACTCTAATTTATTTAATCGATCCTCTAACTCGTCAATTGAAACACTTAAATTGTTATCTTCTTCGCTCATGTCTATATATTTTAAATATAATGTTCTTTTCTATAAAATAAAAAAAAATGAAATAAAAAAAAAAAAAAAATTAATTTAAAAAAAAAATGAAAAAAAAAAATAATTTTTAAAAAATAAAATATATTTTATATCTTTTTTTATTTTTTTTAAATAATCAGATTAATGTGTATATAAATAAATAAATTTCCTTTTTTATTTTTATTTTTATTTTTGTTTTTTTGTATAAAGTGTTTGTTTATTAATTTTTTTTTTTTTTTTTTTTTAGGAGGTTAATAAACTGTTATCGGTACTTGAATCGAAATTTGATTTTTGGGAAATTGGAGATAATGCAATAGAGTCATCGATTGTAAATTTTCCTTGTTCATCTCTATAAAAACCTTTCTTTACGTTTTGTTGTGGGAAATGGATTAATTCTGGGCTTAATGGAATATTTTTGCTGTATGAGTTGTTGGAATTATTATTTACAATGTTTATATAGTTTGACGAGGAAAAGGATGAAGATGATGGAAGAAGGTTATTATATGAACCAGACGATGCTGATGGTACAGTATGGGTGGAGTCACTATAAATACATTCATATTGGCTAATTTTTCTGTCGATTTCGCTTCTTAAGTCGTTAATAAATGTTCTGTTATCGTTATCCCTAGTTTTAATACCCCTTTCGATATTTCCTTTTAAAAGTTGGAAATCTTGTGTTGACTTTTGTTTAATATCATTTAATTGTGAAATTCTTCTTTTCTTTCTAATTAATAAATCATTTTTCATTGTCTAAAATAAATTAAAAATAAATTAGTATTTTTTTTTTTTTTCCCTTAAATATTATTTTTTTACTTACATCGATATCTTCTCTTATAGAGTTTAATTCATTTGGTTCCAAAAGTTGATTTTCGACAACGTGAATTAATCTTTGGAGTAATGGAGCATTTTGGATATTTTTATCAATTTTAGAGAAAGGTCTGTTATTTTGTTGTGGTTGTTGCATTTGTTGTGGTTGTTGAGTTGTTAAATTACTAATGTTTGGAAGGGTGTTTGAAGCATTACCAATGTTTTGACGATTCATGTCCCAATATGGAACAGCTCCATCTTCTTCATAAAAGTAACTGCCATCTTTTGATTTCTTTTTTGATAATTTCTTTTTAAGAGACATAAGTTCTTCTAATTCACCTTTTGGTTTTCTTGAACAGTTACTACAATGAGCACCAAATTGTTGGCTGTTTCTAAATGATGATTGTGGCCATGTTTTTTTACAATATTTACAATAGTAACCTTTTTCAAATTCGATTGGATTACCAGAAGGGTCGGTATGGATAAATTCTGGTTTTCTTTTCTTTGAGCCAGGTTTATGTGAATCTGGTGATTGGTTAGGAACTGATGAGTTATCGTCTGAGGCATATAAATTTGTAGTTTGTTGTTGTGGGGATGATGATGAGGAATAGCCACCATATTGGGATGGAAGGGTCTCTAAGTTTGATTGTTGAACATCTTGTGGGAATTGTTGGGATTGTTGTGGTTGTTGAGGATTATTTTGTAATTGTTGTTGAAGTTGTTGGAACATTGATTGGCTTGCTTGTTGTTGATGTTGCTTATTTAGCATTTGTAAGTGTTGGTTTATTGTTTGTTGGTTTAAAATTAAAGATGGTTGTTGTTGTTGTTGTTGTTGTTGTTGTTGTTGTTGTGGAGTAATTTGTTGTTGCTGTTGTTTTGGTTGTTTTGGTTGTGATGCAGCTGGTTTTTGACGTGTTTGTTGTTTTTGACTTGGTTTAAATACACCATCTTTACCTTTTAATCTCCATTTGATACCACAGGCATTACATAAAGAACCTTTGCCAGATGGACCTCTTCTCCATGTTGGTGTTGAACTTGATCCACAAAATTCACAAACTCTTGTTGTACTCATTGGTATTATATATTTATCTGGAGTATTGCTTACGGTTTGTTGTTGTGACTTATTGTTATTATTTGTTATTGTGGGTGGTGATGAACTATGGGAAGGGGAGGTAGATGAGGGTGACGGAGTTGTGTTTACACTTGAACTATTATTAATTATATTGTTATTTATAATTAAATCTTTATCCTCTTGTTGTTGTTGTTTAAATGGTATATTAAAACCTTTTAAAGTATTTTCTGTGTTTTTCTCGATTGTATCACTTGAATTAAAGTTTAACTCTAAAGGTTTAAAATTATTTTTTTTATTAATATTATTATTATTATTATTTATATTATTAATATCTGTTAAATTTATAATTGATGAAGATGATGGTTTGTTATTTTTTATATTATTACTATTATCTATGATTTCTATATTATCAATACTATCTAATTTTTTAAATTTATTTTTATTATTATCTAAAATAATATCTAAAAGATTTGATGAGTTATTGTTATTATTATTATTATTATTATTATTATTATTATTTAATTTTGAATTTGTATGTTGTTGATGATTTGAAATTAATGGTGAATTTTTTTGTGATGTTATAGGATCATAATAAATATTACTATTATTTTTATTGTTATTATTATTATTATTATTACTATTATTAATATTATCAAAATTATTTTTTTGTTGTTGTGTATATAAAGTATGAAATTGTCCCATCATTCTTTTCTTTATTATTAATTTGGGTAAACAATGATATATGGTATATATATAACACCACTCTCGAGATTATCAATTATGATTAGTGCTATATAATTGGGGTTATGAAATATTTATTGAATTGAGTTTTTTTTTTGTTTCAATAAATATACAAAATTATTATTAAAAATTATCTTATTTTGGGTATTGTCTTATATGTAAACAGTTTTATTGGGGTAATTGGATAAATGTTATTTATATATTGTGAGCGAATTTACCAAGTGGGGTATTCTATAATTAATTGAAAAAAACAATATGTTTTATTTGTAAAAAAATTAAAAAAATATATTTAATTTTTTAATTATTGAATTTTATGTGTGAGTTATCTGGGTGTTATTGATATAATTATGCCTAACTATTGTGTGGGGGGGGGTGTGTTATGAATTATTTTTTTTTAAAATTTCTATACAAAGTGGAAAAAGTAATAAATAAAAATGACCCCAAATATGTGGGGTGTTTAGATAGATAATTAAAAACTGAAATAAAAAAAAAAAAAACAAAATGATATTAAAAAATTTTAATAAATAATAATTAGATTATTGAAAAAAAAAAAAAATAATTATTAAATTAAAATTAAATTAAAAAAAATAAAAATAATTAAATTAAATTAAATTAAATTACTATATGTGTATAAATTATTAAAAAAAACAGTATCATACACACTGAAAATAAAAGTTATATATATTATGAGAGAGTAT